AACCCAAACCCAGAAAGACAGTCATGGTATGTACTCACTCATAAGTGGGTTGTATTTGTAAAATAAAGAACAATCAGACCACAACCCATAGAACCATGGAGGCTATATATATAGCATGGAGGTCCCTAAGACAACTGTGGCTTATAATAAATTTTGGTTTTACTCAATTATTGAAAAAAAATAGCCAAACAAATGGGAACACATGAACTATGAACCAAAGGCTGAGGGGCCCCCAGCTGGATCAGACCCTCTGAATAGGTGAGACAGTTGATTGGCTTGATCTGTTTGGGAGGCAAGTAGGCAGTGGGACCGAGTCCTGTGCTCATTGCATGAGTTGGCTGTTTGAAACCTAGAGCTTATGCAGGGACACTTGGCTCAGTCTGGGAGGAGGGGACTGAGCCTGGACTGAGTCTACCAGGTTGATCTCAGTCCTCGGGGGAGGCTTTGCCCTGGAGGAGGTGGGAATGGGGGGGTCAGCTGGGGAAAAGGGAAGGGAGTGGGAGGCGGGAGAAGAGGGGAACCTGTGGCTGATATGTAGAACTGAATGGTATTGTAAAATAAAATAAAGGGGAAAAAAAGTAACTGTCACATATCACATATGTCTTACAGGATCATAATACTCCAAACAATTTAGCATCTCTCTGGTCCTTGTAGCTTATCTGGACTGAGATCTCATTCTCATTCCCTTTGGTGCACCTGCATGCATGTATTTTCAATGTATTTTAAAATATATAGAACACTTAGAATTTAGCATCATGCTATCTAGGCAACGAAACTGCTTCGTAGAGAGGATGGTCAGGATAGCAAAGCAAGGCCACCATCCTATGATAAGTAATGGAATGCTGAAGGTAATCTTGAAGTACTCTGAAGGTCCACTGTTGACCATATCCCAAGTAAATGGAAATTGGACTTGATAAACAACAGCTAAAGGAATTAAAATAACAAAAAAACCACACCTACACGTTAGCAAGGTCTAATTGAGCATGGGAAAATCCTTTCATTTGTACCTGTTTGGCTTCTTCATCATGGAGGACCTCCATGGGATGGGACTCCCATACATTTCCCCAATCCCTATGAGTTTTTTTGGAGCTAGCTCAAGCTATACCTGCCTGGTTACACCCCACCCAGATTCTGGTAGACTCTGCTTGAACTGAAGCTCTGGTTTCTCCCCACCTCTTCCCTCCCCTCCTCTCCTCTCCTGCTTCTCCCTTTCTTCCTGTTGTCTCTGTCATGGGTTGTTTCAGTGTAAGCCCAAGGCTAGAACAAATTCCACCCTCAACTTACCTTTCTTCAGGAAAGAAATGCACAGTTTACTCTGGATGGGTCATTGCTCAATGTTAGTGAAACCTGGTGCTTTTTACCTGGACTGTTTTATTCCCATATCCACCCACTGCTGCCCATTGCCCCTGGTGTTTTGAGACTTGTCATAGATGCACATGGCTCCAGAATCTCCTAAAGCCCAAGTAATTCATACATTAATGGCAGACTGGTGAGTTCATAGTTTGATGGGAGGCCTCCAGTCCATGTATAGCCCTCACCTGCAGGGAACTTTGATCACCTTCTCAGAGAAGTAGCTTGGGTGGTTTCCTCCAGAACAGTGGTTTCTGTGATGATCATTTGTACCTTCATAAGTTTTTCTCCTTCTTTTAACCCTTGGTGAAACACTGGTTAGGCTTGGAAAGCCTTCTCAGAACTCACAAAATGTGTTCTGTTTTGTTTTTATCAGTTTTTTTTCTAGGAACTCTGAGAGCTCAACACAAGTCTTACCACACTTGTTTTTTAGTAACTATACAGAATTCATCAATTGTTTTTCCTCTCATCTACTGTGTGTTTTAGTACCTTAAGAATTTAATTTATATCCTGGTCTTGATCATTTAGATCTTCAAAGCCTCTTCTTATTGAAGAAAAAAAATGTTTTCTCATGGGACTCACCAGTCACTAAAGCCCAATAAAATATCCAAGTCTCTGATTAATTCACTTAAAAAAAAAATTCTCCTGAGAACACAGTCCTGGTGAACTAGATACTAAAGATCACTTTTGTAAAATTAGTTTCTTTATTGTTATTTTTACATCAGGTCATTATTTTGTACTATTTTACTCTTCCCATGAATTTTAAGTTTTTGAATTCCAGAAAAGGCTCTTAGCATAGATCTAACTTTGACTCTTTTTTTTCTAGAGTCTTGCCAAGAAATCAACATCTCCATCTCATTTTCTCTTTTATTCAACTAATATTAAGCAGGCTAGCAGAACATTCCTTTGGGTTTATAATTGCTACCTTACAAAGGCAAGTCCTCACTGACTAGCCATCTTGGCGTGATATGACTTTTTACTACAAACAGAAGTGGTTATGCTACCTCGGACCCTGCTTATGGATACTGTTTTCGCTTACTTTTCACTCTCAGGGACCAAAACAAAATTGTTCTCAATATTTAACCTTTCTTGGGTCAACTATGTTTTCATATGGAAGGCCCACTCCTCAAGCAGGCATGTCACTCCATATCATATAAAGACAGCCCCATTTGGATTTCCCCTGCAGGTTACCCACCCAGACGCTTTCTCTGGATAGAAGATACAGCCATGATTGTATATCTCCCAAAGCAAGGCCCATGCAACCCCTGATATAGCAAAAAGTTATATAACCCCATACCATATGAGGAGAGGGAATTATATCAAAATTTTTGCCATGGATGTCTACCCTTTAGAGATCAGCTTCAGGTACATGTCTCAGCATCCCAACTCATCTTTGGTTCATGACCATAATCCTAATCAGGTATCAAATGAATTGTGTGTACTTTTTTTTCTCAGAAGAAGACACACATGACTATTCATCCTAAGAGAGAACTGATAATGGATCAACAAAACTAATCTACCCAAGTCCAGTTTGGTGAGTCAGTAAATTACTGAAGTTTTTTTTTATAGGCATCTTGGTGAGGGGTTATTTACAGGAGAAGGGATGAATAAAAAGCAACTGACCTACTGAAAAGCCCATCCATGCATGGGTGATTTTAGGGAGCAAAGAGCCTTGTGTATACAGATAAGCTCTGGGGAAGCTAGGAGAGTTAAACACACAGCTTACCTCTTCATAGGAATAAGGTGCATAGCTGTTCTTCCTGGAACACTAAGAATGATGCCCTTTGACAACCTAGTGATACTTTGCTGTCTGAGGAGACAGGCTCTGCCCTTATCTCCCAGAATTGATGTTTTTACTTATCCAAGATCCTTTCCCCTAAATCTTGAGCATTACTTTTAAACCATAAAACCCAGTCACTTGTGCTTTACAACAGCCTAAGTGACTTCTATGTTATCTTAGGGCCAGGTTAATCCCAACACCCACAGGCGTTATGTTTACCTCAGTCAAGCTCCCTACACCCTAAATCTGGAGCACTATCTCTGAGTCAATAGAACCCATTCTTGTAAAAGCCAGATGTACTTTGTAAAGAATCACAATGTAAACATGTCTTAAACTGTTGTGTACTTGGGTTAATTGTTATCTGACTACGTTTTTCAAAATTGTGCTGTGCTTAAATATGGCTAAAGTAAAATGATCTGGCCAGACTCTAGAAGTCCTGGTCCAGCACTGGTTACAAGAAAATTGGGCTGAGCTGAGTTTCATTCTTGTCTCTTCATGGATCATTTTTTTCCCTGCCTGCCGTAAAGTCTTCAGGGACTCACCATAGCTGGTGTCCAACGTGGGGCCTGGAGCTCTCTGTACAACTTGCAAGCAGCTAAACAGGTAGGAGGCTCTCCTCTAGGCAGCTCAGCTGGTCAGTCTCCTTCCTCAGCAATTGCTTAGCTGCTCCTATAATACTAGGTAGGGGCATTTGGGAAACACTTTGAGAACACTCAAGTTTGGGGTTTTCTAGCCATGTGCAGTGTGTTTACCACTTGAGACTCAAGAACCTCTTCACAGGTCCTTGAGGGAATGTTTTAATTCAGAGGAAATTGCTAAAAACTACGCCTCAGCTGCCAGAGTTCTTTGAAACTATGGGAAGTATTTATATGGTGGAGGTGGAGGGTTGTGTGTTTCATATATTATGGGTACCAGGCTGATAATCGCACAAGAGTCTGAAAGCATCCTTGCTTGGCCGGCCTTGGAAACCTGACTGATGTTTGTGAGTGAATCTTCTCTGTAGGAACCCTCTTTGCTTCTCCAAACAACAAGAACACTTGCAGCATGGTTGCTTTGTTCTTCCCTCTCTACTCTCCCCAGAGTAGAACTGTCTCCTCCTATCCCTCCCAGCTCGCTACCCCAGGCCTCAGTGATCTCATCTTCTCTGCCTTTTTCTTCCAGGACATTGACTTTCAACAGGATGAAGAGTGCAACCTGCTCACTTTTCATCATCATCTCCCTTCTTCAACTGATGATTCTAGTGAATACTGAAGAGACCTTAGACTCCATTATGAAGAGGCTCAAGGAAGCTCTCAGTCGCCTAGGTAACTGATGGGGTAGGGGAACACTGAGCTTAGTCAATGTTCACGCCTCTTATTCCTACATTATAATTTCGTCTCTATCCTATTCCAAGATCAAACCTCTATTTAATCAATTATAGCCCTAACTCCCTGTTCAGGACTTCCTTTATAATCATATCTTTTTTTGAACTCATGGTTAAAAGCTCCATTTTCTTTGATAATCAATAGACCTAGGAGGGTGGCACCTGTAATTTATGAACACATTTTGAAAAGGCATAATATAAAGCTTTAAGTTGGTTCATTTTAATTTTTACTGCCATTATATAAGGTAAGCACAACTGTTATTTTGATGTCACATATGAAGACACTAAGTCCTAAAATGTAGTCATTAGCCTACTTGTGAAAACAGGGACTCCTCAAGACAGAGAATGAAGGAGAAAGGGAGCTGTAGGAACAAGAGATTATGGCAATACCCCTGATTCTCTTACCTGCAGAGCATCCTCGCCCCACTCAGACTAAGAGTGTCTCCTGCACTACTGTCAAAGCTTCGGGGAAACTGGCTTCCTGTCCATCTGGTGAGTAACTCACAAGGGAGAATTTGTGAGTAATTCTCGAAGCTCTCAGAAATCCTCGAACACCTGTATCTTCTATTGCATCAGGTCTTTGCTGCCATGGGGCTGTGATGTAGTCCCAGGTGCCTAGACATCCCTTCCTGATTTTCATTTCTCTTAAGGATGCTACTGAGGAACTCGGGGTTTGTTCTTGTTACACCTTCCTTCGTGAACACATATGACAGTCCACCTGGATTTCAATTGTGTGGTCATGGATATGGCCCTGTTTTCTTTCCCACTCTATTCCCTTGTAGTGGTAGAAGAAGAGCCAGCACAGAGGTGAATTTGCCATCAACTGAAAACTACAAGTCTTTTCATTTAAATGATTTTTTTCTTGAAGATAATTCTCAAAAATGATTTACTTTTATACCCTACAAAATGTAGCTCTATGCATGAGCTTCCCAGGGAGAACAGTTAGGGACTCTCCATCTCTTATGGTCCAAGGTCTCTGATGTCTTTGTCTCACACAATCATGCAGGGATGATTGCTACTGGATGTTCTTGTGGCTTTGCTTGTGGATCATGGAACATACAGAACGAAAACATTTGCCACTGCCTGTGTCCAATCATAGACTGGACTCTTGCCCGATGTTGCGATCTGAGGAAATGAGGAAGCAGAGAATCCAGTTTTGAAATGACCATAATAGTGAAACAGTGATCCCACCCAGGAAATCTGACTCACTGCTCTTGTGACAAATTCATACTACACAGTAATCCTGCTTCTTAAGTAATAAAGACAGATTTGCACTCATCTATGTTTATGTCTTCAGTGTTATTACTCCTGGCTTATGGTGCCTGATGCCAGAACACTTTCAGGATCTCAGTGACTACAACTCACTGTATCTGAGATGGGTGGTCAGGAAAAATGTAAAAAGAAAGGGGACAATGGACCTCCCTCACCCAATTCTCCTCCTCCCCCATTTTAATAAAAAGCGTAAGTGTATTGGATGTATGAAACACAGAGAAGTGGAGTAGCATGCTTTTATGAGAACCAACATCTGCAACAGTGAGATCTGGAAGACTGCAAAGTGTGGACAGATGGGGAAATTTAAAATAACTATGTTCTAACTGTTCAGCATGTATGAACACTCCTTCCAATTCAAGTGCCTGTGGTGGCTAAAGATGACTTCTTTCCCACTCACATCTCTAACCTATATCAAAAGAACAGTAGAGTCCTCACCTGTTACTGAGAATTACAATTATGCATTTTACTCAGGCATTAAAAATTTACAGAATTCCAAAGCAAAAAATAATTAAAATATTGATGATAATGTTAAGAAAGTAAGCAAGTGATTGGGCAAAAAGTATTCTGCAAGTTTGGGGGCTTCCAATTTTGAGCCTTCACAGGAGGATATAATTCATCGGTCAACTTTATCAAAATAATTTTAAATAAGAAATAGTGGTATGATTATTGATACCTTAAAAAGAATTAAAGTAAATTGACTAAAACTACACTAAAATCTTCTCTCTCCATCTTTTAAATTATGGCAGTAGGTTTCTCAAAGATAAAAACCATGAAGAAACAACTTTTTATATCTGAAACTCACATAAAATAGCCAGACACTCTATTGTATACTAGTAATCCCACTGTGGAAGAGGCACAGACAGGCAGATTCCTTGGACTTACTGCCTAGCCAGAGTAACTGAATTGGCAAGTGTCAGGTAAAGTGAGAGACCAAGGTGGAGAGAACCTGAGGATAAGCCACAAATTGACTTCCAGCTTGCTCATATACGTACAGGCACAGACACACAGACACACACACAGACACACATACACACACACACACACACACACACACACACACACACACACACACACAAACACA